CACTCCAAGCTTGCCCCACCGAAAGATTATGAAAAAGACCATGTTAAATGTGATAAACAAGGAAAATGTAACCGTAAGCTAAAGAAAATGAATAGAAGCCGATGACTGATTCTGTCCACCCGATTAGATTAGACACCCTATGGCATAGTGAGCACAACTCTAAGTTTGTGACGGCACTCTGAGGGGAGAAAGCCAGCCGAGCAGCAGCATTCCCTCTCTCCCTCTCAGTCCTGGTCCATCCACTTGTGATCAAGAGCCTCCCATTCACACTGCCACAAGTACAAGCAATTCCTACGGCCATGCCTTCCCCACCATGAGTAAATTTTCTTCCCCTAAGTTGCTCCTGCCAGGATTTAGTTTCAGCAACATAAAAAGGACACCAAGGGCCAGGGAGACAGAGAAGGTGCTTGTTCTGCAAGTGTGAGGGAGGGCCTACACAGCATCTACATGAAAAGCCAGACTGGCTGCACATGCCTGTAACCACAGCACCAGGGTCCAAGACAGTGGATCCTGAGAGCTCAGTCTATTTCAAGGCAGTAGATGTAGAAAGATAAAGGAAGACATGCAGAGTCCTGCTCTGGTCTCCATGTACACGAGCATGGATATGCACATCTACACATTCACATGTATAAGCAGAAAGAGAGAGAGACAGAGACAGAGACACAGAGACAGAGGAGAAAAGAGGAAAAAACAAAGAGAAAAGAGGGAGAGAGAAAAAAGGAGGAAAACAAAATAGGAAAGCAATACAGAAAACTGGTACCAACAGGCCAGTGAAATGGCATATCAGGTAAAAACGCTTACCTCAAAGCCTAATGACATGGGTTCAATCCCAGAACCAACCCACATAAAACTAGACCAGAACCAATCCACAAGTTGCCCTCTAGCATCCACAAGCATGCCATCACACACGGGCACTCCACCCCACATATACAATAATAATTATATTTTAAAAGAAATTGGTACCAAGAAATGAGGCCATTATTGTAATAACACCGTGGTACATAGGCCTTCTAGACCACTGGAGAGATGTGGAGGAGTCTGGAACCTGAAGCACCCAAGAGATGTGAAAAATGGGCAATTTCAAAGAAAAGAGCATGAATCCAGGTAAAATGACTCTAATTGTTAGAGAGATTATTGCCATTACAGAGAAACCAGGGATAGTGCACCAAGACAACAGAAAGGTACTCTGAGGTTAAGACCCGCACCTTCAAAAGCTCCAGGGCACAACAGTGCAAACTTATTAGAAAAACTTTCATTTAAAAGATGACTGCCTGAACAAGGCCTCCAAGGGCTGCCTGCCCAGGACAGTGTTTTCCTAGGTTTCAGCCACGCAGCCACTCAGAGACTTCTGTCACTATTAGAGATGAGGCATAGCTACATCTAGAGCTGAAGGCAGGAGTCAGCAGGGGTTCCATGTAGTACTGTTTGGCAGGCATCACCATCGGTTGTTAAAATGGCTCAGTGGTAAGGACACTTGCCTGATAAGCTGAGTTTGATTCACCATGTTGGACGGATAGAATCAATTCCCAAAAGCTATCCTCTGATTTTACACAACCTTTGACATGCAAGCGCGCACACACACACACACACACACACAACAAATAAACAAACAAACGAATAAAAGTTTTTGGGACAATCCAAGAGTTATGGGGTCACTGAAGTTTGCACCACGGCCCCAGAAAGCTAATGGGGCCAAGCAATGTGGGACTGGGTTGAATTCCCTCCAAGGAGGCTCCAAGAGGCGACTACGTGAAACAGTTTAGGTGAAGTCTAAGTTGCAATGTAGACTCTAAAACACTGGAGATGCCAGGAGCATGGGATATTTGCCAAGGAAAACTGTAGACTCCATGTGAAGGCAGCTCAAGAGAGAAACTACAACTGCCACCACCATAGCGGGAAGAGAATTCTGAAAGCCTGCAGAAACCTAAATGATGCCATCAGGAGCCCCGTGGTGGGCACGGAGCTGCAAAGGTTGGCATTTATCCTATTCTGTTACATAGTCCGATGTTTTCCTGCTATGCACCTGCACCTCCATTACAGAATGGAAATGTTTATTCTGCCTCATTATACTGGAAACTGTACTCTACATTTTGATTTGACAGAACCTCACCATTATGAGGGAAGTCTCAGAACCAACTTTGTTCTGCTTTGTTTCTGAGACAGATTCCCATTATGTAGCCTCAGCTGGCCTGGAAATCACACTGTAGACCAGCCATCTGCCTACCTACCTCTGCCACCTGGGTACTGGGATTAAAGGCATGGTTCTCCACGCCCAGCTTCAGAACCAAGCCACCGTACTCAAGTAAATAAGGCCTCATTCATGCAAGCAACTCTGAGTAAATGCAGTGGGCCACAAACAACAACAATTAAAAAAAAAAAAAAAAAAAAAAAAGACATGTGGTAGATGGGGGATATGGGGAAAAGGAGGGAGGGGTTCTGAGGAAGACAAAAACAGCTGATAATGAGGAGCATATGTAATGTGAAAGGAAGACTCTGCTGACACTCAGATGAACATGAGAGGAAAAAAAGACATTAAGGGTAAGAGGTGGAATGTTAGATTTAAAGTGAGGTGCTTAGGTGACAAGTTGACAAGGGATAACCTCCAGATGGGCAATACTAATTGTCAGCATTAACTGGAGTAGGAAGCATTAGTGAGACACACCTTTGGTCTACAAGGGCATTTCCAGAGGAGTAATTAAGAAAAGACTTGCCTTGAGTGTGGGCGACACCATCCTATAGACTGAAACGTCAGCTGAACCAGCCTTCATCTGTTTCCTGGCATATCCAGATGTAAATGAGCAGCCCCACTCCACACAGGTCACTCCTACAACCACACCTTCCCTACCACGACAGACTCTCAATCTGGGAGCCAACATCAATCCTGCTAAGGTACTTTTGTCAGGTATCTGGTCAAGAAGAAAATAACTAACCCAAAAGAGGGCTTGACACAGAGAAGCAAATTATGCAAGGTATGTGACAGCTAAAAACAGTTCAGCTTCAGCTATGAACCAAATAAGCAAAGTCTCAGAGCTGTCTAACAAAGCCCACCTGAAATTCCACCCTCACATTCAGTAAAGCTGTCCAGCCATCAATGCTAAAGATTCGCAAAAGGGACATCCCTGTACAAAGCTCCTCAGCAATCTCTACCAGAATCCACAAGTATAATCACAACGCAGGATGATCAGAACGGTCACCCCCAAGTCAGCCCTGTATCAAGAATGAAACAACCAAAGAACAAGTTCATACTTCAAAATACTTACCACAGTCACCACTTCCAAAAAACCAAATGCCCAGCTCTATTTGAATAATTTATGACAAAATAAGAATCTGATCAAATATACAGCCATGACCTAGGAAAGTAGCTTAGTCAGTAGAGTATCTGCCATGCAAGTGTGAAGAGTTGAGTTGAGTTCCCCAGAATCCACCTAAGAAAGCAGGGGCAATGGCAAGTTTATAATCCCAGCACTGGGGAGGCAGAGACAGTCAGATCCCAGGGACTCACTGGCCAGTCACCCTAGGCTAATTAACAAGTTTCAACCAGTGAGCGACCCTGTCTCAAAAATTAAGGTGAGCCAGGCATGGTAGCACACAACTTTAATACCAGCACTAGGGAGGCAGAGGCAGCCAGATCTCTAGGAGTTTGAGGACAGCCCGGTCTTGATAGCCAGTTCAAAACAAAACAAAACAAAACAAACAAAATCCATGGTGGATAGAACCTGAGGAACACCCTAAGTTGTCCTCTGACCTTCACACTTGTGCAAGTACACACATGCACTTACATACACAAAATTCAGCTATAAACCATGTATTTCAGGTTAAAAACATAATGTGGGCTGGAGAGATGGCTCAGAGGTTAAGAGCACTGGATGCTCTTCCAAAGGTCCTGAGTTCAATTCCCAGCAACCACATGGTGACTCACAAACATCTGTAATGAGATCTAGTTCCCTCTTCTGGCTGTAGGTGTACATGCAGGCAGAACACTGTATACATAATAAATAAATAAATCTTAAAAAAAAAAAATAAAAAAATAAAAACACAATGTATGCACATCAACTAAAAATTTTAAAATACTTAAGCACAAGAAAAAGTACGTGATAAAAGAAAAAATGTTACTCAAATGAAGTATTTTTTTTTAATCTGGTATATAGTATCTTCTAAATTAAAATTTAGGCAAATCCTTTGGGCCTTGAAGTCTCCTTTTAAGGTACATGTCTAAATTATTTGAAGAGTAACTTTAAACCAAAGTGTGTCAATAGGGACAAGCCATAACGCTGCACCAACTGGATCCTAGATACTCCTTCCTAAGGGCAGCCCATTCTTGGTTCTTTCATAGCCCTGTACAATGCTGCTTGACCTGAATGCTACAAGGCAGCACTGTAAAGAAGCTGAAAGCACGAAGACAGCTCTGCTGAGGTGGAGGGGAACCAAGGTGGGCCTTCCTCTGACCGCTCAGTCTTCTCCCAGCGTCAGTGGCTTCCTGTGAATTCCTTTCCACACCTCAACAGCACCCAGCAAACACAGCATCTAGATTCAGCATTGTTACCCATCATTCATCGCACCCCCAGCTCAACTCTGGCCTCCTTCCTGAACCCCTTCTACTTTTTCCTCAGAAGAAGCCATTTGCTCCTAGCAGTAAAGAGAAGCACTCCTCTTCAGGAAGAAAAAAGATGGGGGGCGGGGGGGGGGGGGGGCGTCAATGAAGATGAATCTGTTCCTCAAGAGTGTAAAGTTCATATTTAAAGTCTACCCCGAGTAACTACATTTGGGCACTACTGTAAGAAGACAGACACTGTGTAAGGCTGAGGGGGGACGCATTTAGGAAAGTCAACATTTCCCCTTAGAGTAACAGAACAATCTCATGTTCCCTTACTTCATTAAGGGCACACATTCTTGCTATGGAGCCAATGTTGTTGGTGATGGTGATCAAAGTTGCTCTGGCAAGGTCCTCCTTACTGGCAGACTCTCTCTTCTCCTTGCTCATCATGTTTCCAAAACTGTGGTAGAGAAAAAAAATTTCATTGCTGAAACATAGGCAACAAAGTCCAAGAGAACTTCAATGTTACGTTACTATGACAAAATGACTTTACAATAAGCCTTTCCATTTTTTTATTACAGAACGATAGAAACATCTACTGAAGAGAGCTCAGCTTCAAACAAAAGTCCACAAAGCGCTCTAAATGAACAGGTAACATGCCCTGTCTTCTACTGAAATCCAACTCTGGTACCAGATAGTTTACTATCCCAGCAGCATCCTGCAGATCCACTGAGAGGCAACACTACCTGATCTGCCACTAGAGTTCCAGGAAGACCTCTCTTATCGGCAGGTCATCCCTACTGTGCAAGTGTCCTACTTAGATGGTCCAGTCACATCTAGTATAGAAAACTCATTTTATCAGCACAAAGTACAAAATAGCTGAGTCCCACAGTGAGCTACTGACGTTCCAGGCTGCCCTAGAAGGTAAATAAAAAGCTTCAAATTTATTGACCAGCAGAAGTGCTACATTAGTAATGACCCACACCCAAGAATAAAAAAGTGATGAACTGTGATCAAATGCTACAAACAAAACAGAATCTACATGATTTACTCAGCAAATACTTGCACATGAATGCTTTTTCTATTATTAAAAACCAAGTGCCCTTCTGTGCATGGTAACTCATACCTCTAATACTAGCACTTAGGAGGCAGAGGCAAGTTAGATCTCTAAGAGTTCAAGGCCAGTCAGGGCTACATAGTGAGACCTATCTCAAAAACAAAACAACACACATGTGCTCTAACACAGAAACAAAAATTACATTCCCAAGGGGGCTAGAAAAATGGCCCAGTGGTTAGGAGCACTGGCTGCTCTTCCAGAGGACCTCTTCAATTCCCAGAACCCACATGTCAGCTCATAACCATCTGTAAGTCTCTAACTTCGGTCCCAGGGAATCTGATGCCCTCTTCTGGCCTCTGTGAGCACCTGGAATGCTCATGGTATACATACATACATTCAGGCAAAATACTCATACACATAAAAGTAGTTATTTTAAAAAATTAAAACAAACAAAATAAAATTAAGGAAGTCCCAAGCTGAGCATGGTAGCACAAGTCAGCATCTCAGCACCTGAAAGACCAAGGCAGACCTGACCTTCACAGTGAAATCCTGTCTCAAAAACAGCAAGAGGAAGAGGAAGAAAAGACTTCCATATTCTGCAGAGAATTAAAGAGAAATATGTCATGGTATTGTGTTCCCCGAAATATTATGCACGCTAATAAACTTATCTGGGGTCAGAGAACAGGACAGCCACAATATTAAACATAGAGGATAGGCAGTGGTAGCACATGCCTTTAATCCTAGCATTCCAGAGGCAGAAATCCCTCTGGATCTCTGTGAGTTCAAGGCCTCATTAGAAACAGCCAGGCATGGTGACACCTGCCTTTAATCCCAAGAAGTGAGCCTTTAATCCCAGGGAGTGATGGCAGAAAGTGGAAAGGTTTATAAGGCGTGAGGACCAGAAACTACAAGCATTTGGCTGGTTAAGCTTTTAGGCTTTGAGCAGCATTCAGCTGAGATCCATTTGGATATGAGGACTCAGAGGCTTCCAGTCTGAGGAAACAGGATCAGCTGAAGAACTGTCAAGGTGAGGAAGCTGTGGCTTGTTCTGCTTCTCTGATCATTCAGCATTCACTCCAACACCTGGCTCCGGGTTTGTTTTATTTAATAAGACCCTTTAGAGATTCCTGCTACAGAAATATACTTAACAAAAGAAACAGAATGCTTGTGTACTGAAATCTTTTGCAGTTGAAAGACAACCACCACCTAAATAAATGGAAAAAAGCCCATCTTCTTGAACCAAAGACTTGACAGTGTTAAGTTGGCAATACTCAGGTCTACAGAGATAGCTCAGTGGTTAAAAGCACTTGCTCTTGCAAAGACCCAGGTTCAATTCCAAGCACCCATACATGGCTCATGATGGTCTGTATTTCCAGATTGATATCCTTTTCTGACCTTCATGACCACCAGACATACACTGGGTACACATCCATCCATCCAAGAGAAACACACATATAAAATTTAAAAATAATAATTAAAAATAAAAGTTGGCAATACTCCTGAAACAGGTAAATAGATTCAACACTGTTCCTATCAAACTCCCAGCTATCTTCTTTACAGACATTGCCAAGTTGATCCTAAAATTCATATAGGAAGTCAAAGAATTCAAAATAATCTTGGAAAGGAAGAACAAGTTAAAGGGCTGTGTCCTGTATGTTTACCACTTCTCCCTTAAAAACTTAGTACAAGGCTGTAGACATAAACAAGGGAATGTGGTACTGTTCTAAAGACAAATATACAGAACAGAAGGAAGTTAAGAATCCAGAAATAAACTGAAACATCAGAGTCAACTGATTGTGACAAAGGACTCCAAAGAATAGGGAAAGAACAGTCTTCAGCAGATGGATCAGCTAGAACATGAGAAAAACACCATGCAAAAGAGACTATGGAGCTCTATCATGTACCATACAGAAAAGCTAACACAGAATGGGACATAGACATAAATGCCAAAGCCCAAACTATAAAACTCTTACAAGTTAAATCTTTACAATCTTGGATGAGGCAAATTACACTAAAAAAAAAAAAAAAAAAGCACAAGAGATAAACACATAAATAAGAGGCTTCAACAAAATTATAAGCTTCTGGCAGGGTTTGATAGAACTCACCTATAACCCCAGCACTCGGGGGACAAAAGCAGAAAGAGGAATAAAAATCTGAGGCCAGCCAGGACCACACACTGAAATTCAGTCTCAAAAAAACAAAATGAGGCTGTAAGTGTAGCCTCAATCGGTAGAGTGCTTACCTAGCATGAATGGGGCCCTAAACATGATCCCTAGCACTAAATAATCTGGATGTATTGGCACAGACCTGTAATCCCAGTATGCAGAAGGTAGAGACAAAAAGCCAGGACATAACTAGGTCAAGGCCAGTTTGAGAGACGGGAGACCTTGCTCGCCCCCCTTCCCCCACCCACCCCAAATAAAAGTTAGGTATGTACTGCAAACACCATCAAGGAAGTAAAAAGAAAGAAGAGGGTTGTATCAATTGTACGTGTGTGTGTGTGTGTGTGTGTGTGTGTGTGTGTGTGGTATCTGTATATATGTGTATGTTATATGTGTATACACACACACACACATAATAAAGAACTTTTATCTATAACATGTAAAGAATACTTAAAGCTCAGCCAGTCAGTAGTAGCAAAGCAGAGGCAGGCAGATCTCTGTGACTTTGAGGCCAACCTGGTCTACAATACAAAGTAAGTTCTAGGACAGCCAGGACTCAAAAACAAAAAACAAACAAAAAATTCTTGAAGCTCAATAAATAGAAAAAATAATTTTAATTAGCAAAAGGCTTCAACAGACATATTCCTTAAATGATAAACAGAAAAAAAAAAACTCAAGATTACAATAAGCCATGGCCTGGTGGCACATCCCTGTTATTTCCAACAGTCAGGAAGCTGATACAGAGAGGATTACAAATTCAAGGCCACTCTGGCCTCTGCAGAGGGAAGACATAGCTCCACCAAAGGAAGAAAAGGAAAGGCCCAGATGTAGAGATGAATGGAAAATTCAGGGAGTAGATGAGAGACATGAGGAGAAAACTTAAGGAAGCTACAGTGGAGGGACTGTCTGTGTATCCTTTTGTGGGAGTCCTCTGCTCGCAATGACCATCAGGATGAATTCTGCTTATGTATGACTTCTGCTATTTTTCCAAGCAACTGACACTGGGATGGATCCCCATGGTTCTCTTTTTCCTTACACCTTGCTGCTATGCCAGCTTCTAACTACAGGCTGCCTTTGTGCCCAGTGTCAATAATACAGTTTTAACCATTTGCATAGAAAAAATGAAATTACTAAAGCAGTTTATAAAAAGGGGTGGGTGGGGGCGAGTCCTAAATAAAAAGACAAAAATGTAGAATAAACTAATCTCTCTTAAGATGCTGGGGATGTAAAATGGTATGGTCACATTGAAGAGCAGTCTAGTAGTTCCCTCAAAAGACTAAGGTTACCATGCAGCATACCAATTTCAATCCTAGGTAGAGATAAAAAAAATTAAAGCAGGTTATAATAGCACAGGCCTTTAACTTGGGAGGCAGAGGCAGAGGCAGACGGTTCTCGAGTTCAAGGCCTGCCTGGTCTACAGAGTAAGTTCCAGGAGAGCTAGGACTAGATAGAGAAATCTTGAATCAAACAAACAAAATTTAAAAAAAAAGAAAAAATTGGGGGCTGGAGAGATGGCTCAGAGGTTAAGAGCACTGTCTGCACTTCCAGAGGTCCTGAGTTCAATTCCCAGCAACCACATGGTGGCTCACAACCATCTGTAATGAGATCTGGTGCCCTCTTCTGTATACATAATAAATAAATAAATTTTTTAAAAAAAGAAAAAATTAAATGTCCATACAAAGACAAGTACACAGGTCTTCAGCACTATTCATGACAGCCAGAAAAAAAATGGGAACATCCAATGTCTATTAACTAATAAATACATAAATATGGTATATTCACATAATAGATCACTCAACAATAAAAAGAAATAATTCTATAAACATTGCACTAAGTGACATGAACCTTGTCATGACAGATCATACTATATGATACCATATATATAAAATGTTCAGAATAACCAAATCCATAGAGACAGAAAAAAAGGCAGCTTTGAGAAGGTAAAATGAAAAAGTGACAGCTAAAGGCTGCAAGGTTTCTTTCTAAAATGATGAAAATATTCTGAAATTGAATTATAGTAATAGCTATAAAATTCTGTAAATATAAAACAAACCACTAAATTACATATTTTTTTTTCAAAGACAAGTGCTTGTGTATACCAGACTAGCCTCCAATTCACTATGAAGCAGAGAATGATCTGGAACTCCTGATCCTCCTGTCTCCATCCCAGGACTGGGATTATAGGCATGTACATACCCAGTTTATACAGTGCTGGGGATCATACACACTAGTACATACTCTACTAACTGAACTACCTCTTCAGCCCCAAATTTAAACAGATAACTTAATACATTACATTTCAATGAAACTGTTTAATATAAAACATATACCTAATAGGATTTTAGTCCCATGTTTCTTACTAGGTACATACTCCCTTACCTTGAAGCCACAGCCCAGCCTGGCAATCCAAACCTTTCATAGTCTCCTCCATAAATGTCTCGAACTAATTTGTCCACTTTGGTGCTATCCCCACGAGACGCCATTTCAAGAGCTTCTTCAAAAGTGCTACAGCCAGTAAGAAGACAGCAGAGACCAAAGAAAGTTCCTCCTCCAAGACTATGATTAAAAGCAAACAATGTAGTATTTTTAAAACACAGGAATGGGATGTTAAGACTTATGAACCCCAAAATGATATTCATGTATCAGTCTACTCTTGCCCCAATTAAATCATGCATGATACCAATAAGTTTGCAAGAAGATAAATATAAGTGCCTCATAAACACAAAATGCATCCATCCATGTGAGCTAACAAAGTAGAAAATATATATAGCCCATCTCCCTGTACACATCCCCAGTGCAGTCTACTCTTGTGGAGTATGAAAAGCCCCAGGTACACATAAGTAAGGCCAACATACCCAGCATCATGTTGGCACCTACTTTCTGTCTTCAAGTACAGAATGAGCTCTGACATCATTCAAACACCTGTCACTCTAACCCACCAGACTCCTCTATTGAAACCTCTTTCTTCTCCAAACTACTCTCATTTGTTAGCTAATACTATTAGGTAAAGAGTTATTCAAATCCTCAGTTCCTTTTTTTCCTCAACCTTTGAACCTTAGCCAAAATATTCATTCTCTTCTTTCATCCAATCCTCCCTTTTCAAATCATTTTTCTAGTTATCAGTACCTCAACTTCTAGATCCATACTGTCTTAGTTACCTTTCTATTGCTGTGGTAAGACACCATGACCAAGACAACCTATAGAAGAAACAAGTTTATTTGGGGCATACAGTTTCAGTGCTAAGAGTCCATGATCATCATGGCAGAGTATGGCAGCAGGCAGGTAGGCAATGAAGCAGTAGCTGAGAGCTCCCATCTTGAGACACAACCATGAGGCAGAAAGAGCTAACTGGGAATGGCTTGGGTTTCTGAAACCTCAAAGCCCACCCCCTGTAACAAATCTCCTCCAATGAGGCCACCCTTCTTAAGCCTTCCCAAACATTGCCATCAACTGGGATCAAGCATTCAAATATATGAGCCTATGAGAAGGCATTCTCATTCTACCCTGGTCCCCATAGGCTTGTAGCCATATCATAATGCAAAATGCACTTAGTCCCTCTCCAAAAGTCCCCATAGTATTTCAATCTCAATACTGTTTCGAAGTCCATCCATGTCTCTTCCAAGATTCAAGGCAATCCAATAAAACCCCATGTAAAAGCAAAAGCAAAAAGCAGATCACATACCCCCAACATACAATGCACAGAATATATATTACCATTCCAAATGGAAGAAAGGGGGCATAGTGAGGAAATACTGGACCAAACCAAGATTGAAAAACAGCAGGGCAAACTCCAAATCCACTATCTCTGTCTGATGACAAAGGACTTAGATGGCTCTCCCCTTCTAGCTTTGCCAACTATTACACACTTCTCTCTCTTGGGCTGGTTCCACAGCCTGTCTGTAGTCCTCCTTAGCAGGTATCCCATGGCTCTGGCATCTCCAACATCTTGGGATCTCCAAGGCAATCCAGGTTTCACCTTCACAGCTTCACAAAATGGCCTTTCAGGGCCTCCACATCCCTACTCCCCTGACACATGCCTGGCCTCAAGTGGTTTTCCTTAATCATGAAGATTCCACAACCACTTTACTCATATATTCTTCTTGAGTCTAAAGCCAGAACCATGTGGATAACTCTGCCAATTTGGGCTGCCTGCTTGGGAAGAGACCTGGCCCCTTTTTGAATTACATTTGCAACAGCTTTCCTTTGTTGTTGGTTTTTTGTTCTTGATGGTGGTGGTTTGTTTTGAGCAGAAAATTTCTCAGGCATTTCCTTCTTACAAGTTGAAAGCTTAGCTGGGCAGTGTCTTGCCCTGAGGGCACCCATCCCTTTTATTTTAGTTACCTTATCTTTCAACAGAGGCCTTGGTTCCAACATTAAATCTCCTAATGCTATTTTTCCACTTCAAACTGTGCCTTTTGTATGTTTTTGTCCCCTTATTCTTTTGCACTGTAGATCTGCCTAACAGTTATTGCTAATAACCACATGACATAGTATTAGGCTGTCTTGAAATCTTCTCAGCCAAGAAAATTAATCCATTATTTTTCAATTTTGCCTCAGATAACTTTTTAGGACAAGAGCAGAAAGCAGCCACATTCATGCCAAAATATCACAAGAATGATCTCTAGCCCAGCTGCTAATATTGTTCTCCTCTGAAACATTTTTTGTTTGAAACAGGGTCCCTCTATATCAGCATTTCTCAACCTGAGGGTTGCAACCCCTTTAAGGGTCAAATGACTCTTTCACAAGGGTCACCTAATACCATGGGAAAATACAGATAATTTACATTACGATTCCTAACATTAGCAAAATTAGCATAGAAAATAATTTTATGGTCAGGAGTCACTACAACATGAGGAACTGTATGTACTAAAGGGTCAGACAGCATTAGGAAGGTTGAGAACCACTTGGTCTTGAACTCAAGAGATCTGCCTGCCTCTGCCTCCTGAGTGCTGGGATTAAAGGTGTGTGCCACCACACCTGACTGACCCCCTCTCTGAAACCTCTTGAGTTGGGCATCCACAGTCAACACTGCTCTCTGAACTAGTCTTCCAAGCTCCTACTAGGTTGGCCCTATTCAGCCCTGCTTACAGCATTTAACCACTTTCCTAATCCAAAGTCCCAAAGTCCACATACCACAAGTCTGTCACACCAATAGCCCATTCCCTGGTACCAACTTCTGTCTTAGTTACTTTTCTATTGCTGTGGTAAGACACCATGACCAAGACAACTTTTAGAATCATTTACTGGGGGCTGATAATTAAGAGTCCATGACCATCATGGTGGGAAGCATGAAAGCAGATAGGCAGGTTTGATACTGGAGCAGTAGCTGAGAATTCACATCTTGAGACACAACCATGAAACAGAAACTTGGGAATGGCTGGGGTTTTTGAAACCTAAAAGCCCACCCCCAGTAACACACCTCCTTTTCCCAAACATTTCCACCAACTGGGGGCCAAGTATTAAAACTTATGAGCCTATGGGCGCCACTCTCATTCAAACTTTCACATACACCATCCCATGAATATCAATATCCCTTGCCCTATGGCATCCCCTGGTCACCTTATACCATCCTCTGGTATAAATGCATGTATGAACATGCTAAAGCATGTATACATGAATATATACAAAGTCTACAGGTTTCAAAGAAAGAACTTCTCTTCCAAAGGTCTACCTGGTTAACTTCAGCTACTTTATATATGCACACCATAAACTATGGATGCAATGAGTCTATTGAGGCAACGCTTAATGAAACAATGATAATAAAAATCCTAGGCAAAAGAGATTAAAAGAGCTCATGATGTCAGAATGTTTAAAGAGAAGCAACATGTGCTTGCATAGTGTCAAAAATTTAAATATTTCACAAAATTTTAATGGGTGCTATAGGTATAGTTCTGTGATACCTGAGAATTCAGAAAACCTGTATCAAGTATAAACAATGACTTATATGAAGGATTTACCTGGTGCCTGTGACCCTCTTATAATTATCTTTGGAATACACTGCTAAGATGCTAACCCCTGAGCCGATGTTCACCAGAAGCAGAGGGTATGGATTTTTCAAATCAAATGGTAACTTCTGACATTTTTCAGAATCAGCAGGATTTTCAAAATAATAGCATTGTGACCGTCCATTGAATCCAACTGAGTCAATGTACAAAATTCCTTTTATTAAGCAATCCAGTTCATCCAGTTTGTGAAGTTGAAGGTCACCTATCTGTAATAAAGTAAGAATGTGATCAGACTTTCTAATAAGCCAACAATTTTTTAAAATATGGTTTTCTGAAACAAAGTCTCACTGTAACCTAAAGCTGGCCTCAAATCCTCTTACCCCCTCTTGCTAAGTGCTAAGACTACAGGTGTGACCCACCACATCTGGCAACCAACAGAAAAATTTTCAATTCCACTTAAAAAGACATCTCTACACTGAAGGAACCATAAAAGCGTGCCCATGGATGTGTAGCATCTATACGTAATTTGCAGCAGATCTGGGGAAGGGAAAAGGAGAAGGGACCGCCAAGACAAACTCTGGTTCCACAGACCCAAAGAGTCACCATCCAAACCACTGCAACTGTGGGGCTGTGTGCCAAGTCACAAGTGAGCAGCAGAAACAGAACCTCTGTTGGGAGGGACGGTGAAGCAGAGATGTAACTGAGGCCATGGCTTATCAGAGTACCCAGCACCTAGTAACAATGGCAGAATCCATAAAGAGTGACATGCTGGGATGGAAAGATAGCTCAGTTGGTAAAGTTTTGCCATTTCCACACACTCAGAAAAAGCCGAGTGTGGTGGCACACACCTATAATCCAGTGCTGGGAAGGTACAGATAGGGGAAACCCTGGAGCTCTCTGTCCAGATGGCCTAGTCTAATCAAGGAGCCCATGTGGACAGCTTCTTAAGATCAACACTAAGGTTGACCTGGAGATCAACATCAAGTCTTTCTCAATAGCTCTCTAGCTCATCTTTGAAGTCAAGGTCTCTCTTACTGAAGCTAGTATTCACTGACTACCTAGACTGGCTAGCCAGCCATCTCTATTCCCTGCACTAAGGCCACAGGCACACACTTGGCTTTCTCATGTGGGTGCTAAGGATTCAAACTCAGGTCCTCATGCTTGAGCAGTAGGCACTTTACCCACAGCACCACTTTCCTAACATCCTTCATTCCATGTAGTTTTCATCGTAACATGAGAACATGACAAGAAGAAACCCACTGGGAGACTCTCACAAAGGAGTACTTGCTATTCCACTCCTTACCTCAATCACAGATAGAAAAGAAAACATTGAAAACCATCAAATAAGAAAAATCAAGGGAAGAGCATGAAACCTACCGGGCATGTTGACACACACCTTTAATCCCAGCACTCAAGAGGCAGAGGCAGGTGGATCTCTGTGAGTTCAAGGTCAGCCTAGTCTAGAGAGTGAGTTCCAGAACAGGCTCAAAGCTACATAGAGAAACACTGTCTCAAAAAAAAAACAGAATACGAAACCTTATTAGCTAGTGCATGTCATTTCTATGCTAGGATTACAACAGCCAGTTCCAGGGGGGGAAGAAATCAGAAAGGAACAAGGCCATAAACGATGTAGTGACATATACAGGAAAAGAACGAGACATAAAAACAATGTAAACTCAAGTCCCTGGAAAAGCCAGGTACATGCTGGAAATTCCACATACTGACTAACTGGTTAGTTCTTAATTGTTCTTTAGTACTCTCAACAGCCATCGCCAACTTTTAGACTTAACACCCCCTTAGACTATCAGCTAAAATCTCTGGAATGTATTAACAGACCACTACTTAAACTTAAGAACGTCATTAGACAACATCGAAAACCTATAGCACCTGCCAACTGATGTCTCCACCAATGCATCTGGAAAGGCACTGCTTTACAGCTTTTGTTCTGCAACCACTTCCACAAAGATGTCATTCACATCGTTCAGGGCAAAAACCTACCTCAGTCAAATATCCTCATTTGGTAACATGGAAAGAGGTTACTGAAGACATTTTAAGTCTGTATACATTGCACCCTGAAGCTTGTTAGGGTCACACACTTTTGCCACATCAACCCTCAAAAGATCTAGCTCAAGATCTTGCAGGGTTCACAAAAGGAAAGCAAAACCTAATGCCCAGTGGTATACTGGCCTTAAGAGTTTAGATATGGTGGAGAAACTTGGTTAGCAAGCATACTGCAGGCTGGGGCTGTATCTGCCTAGTTTGTGCACCACAGCTCTGCTGTCAGCTCTAATGCCTAAAAAGAACCACTTTAAAAAAATTGGGGGGGGGGGGGTTGGGGATTTAGCTCAGTGGTAGAGCACTTGCTTAGCAAGCGCAAGGCCCTGGGTTCGGTCCTCAGCTCCAAAAAAAAAAGACAAAATAACAAAAAAACTTTTTCGAAACAGGGTTTATCTATGTAACAGCTCTGGCTGTTCTGGAATTCGCTTTGTAAACCAGGCTGGCATTGAACTCATAGAGATCCCCCTGCCCCACCTCCTAAATGCTGGGATTAATGGTGTGTACCACCACTGCCTGATCACTTTAAAATTTTTATTTTAAATTTTATGTATATGAGGTTTTGTCTGCATGTATGTATGTATACCACATGTATATAGCAGGATCCCCTGGAACTGGAGTTACACGTGGTTGTAAGCCCCCATGTGGGTGCTAGAAATCAAACCTGGGTACTCTAGAGGAGCGGCCAGTGCTCTAAACCACTCAACCATCTCCCCAGCCCCTCATACCCCCAAAAGTACACTTTTAACCAGACATGCTAGAAAATACCTGAGGTGGCAGAAGAGAAACTATGTGGTATACAAGATTAGAAGCATTTTTGTGGCCATATAGTGTGTGTGCACATGTGGAGATCAGAGGACAACTTGAGATGTTATTCCTCAGGTGACATCTACTTTTTTCCTGATTCTTCACTGGCCTGGAGTTTTCCATGGAAGCTGCCCAATGAGCCCCAGGGATCCACTTGTCTCTGCCTCCCTAGTGCTGGGAAAATATCCAGGTTTTTTGTTAGTTTGTTTCTGAGATGGGGTCTATATATCCCTGACTGATCTGGAACTTGCCATGTAGACCAGGCTAACCCCAAACTCACAGAGATCCGCCTGCCTCAGACTCCTGAGTACTGCTATGATGATGTATTATGTCCCCAATATATTATGCACCCTAATAGTTTATCTGAGCATCAGAGGAAAAGCCAGCCACTATAGTAAACATAGAGGTCAGGCAATGGTAGCACAGGCCTTTAATCCTATCACTCGGGAAACAGAGATCCGTCTGGGTCTCTGTGAGTTCAAGACCACACTGGGAACAGAGCCAGGTGTGGTGGTACATACATACCTTTAATCCCAGCACTAACCATAAAGGTCTGGAGGTCTGTACAGACAGACAGGAAGTGACAGAGCTGGGCAGGAAGACAAAGTGATGTAGCTGGGCAGAGAGAGGAAATGAGATGCAGAACAGAAAGGCATATAGGCGTGGGTAGACAGGAAGTAGATCTCTTTGGCTGAGGATCTCCAAGTGGTGAGAACAAGGCTGGCTTCTTTCTGCTTTTCTGATCTCTCCATTTTAACCCCAATATCTGGCTCCAAGTTTTAAGACCATTTAGCAATTCGTCTACATACTGTTGAGATTAAAGGCATGGACCACCACAGCCAACTTAATTTTTATGTCTGTGTGTGTCCATTTCCAAGAAGACCACAGTGGGATCGGACACCCTGGCACTGGGAGTGCAGGCAGTTATGGGCTGTTTTGACACAGGTGCTGGGAATTGAACTTAGGTCCTTGCTGAGCTACCTCTCCAGCCCACACACAGCCTTTTTATGTGGGTTCTAAAGAACGAACTCAGGTCCTCCAAACACTTTACTGACTGAGCCATCTCCTTAGCCCAGGACTAAATTTTTCATTTTTATTTTTAACTCCTTAATGAGATGTAATAATGGTACTCCTCATAGACACTTACTGTGCTTATCCCATACTCAAAGTTTTTATACTAAAGAAATGGTAAAATGCTATGCTGATACACATCGACATGTTTCAACCAGGTAAGAAGCACACAACCCAACAATTGCCAGAAAGCTAACTCCTCACTGTCACTAGCTTATATATAATGTTCATTTCCCTCAGGAATATTTAAGCTCCATTAAAAATGAAAATGATTCTACCACTTGTAATTGGCATCATTTTAAACAATCAAATTACCATAAATTGTATATAAGCTAAAAATGCATACTGTGAGAAAATCCTGCTCAAATTTGTATGATCCACCTCCAGTGGCACAAAAGACAGTGTGGAGACTCGAGAAGTTTTTATCTTTGCCCATTTGAATAAAAGCAGGCATGTCATGAGTGGGAAAGCGTATAAAGTGCAGATTGCCTTTGCGTCCACACAGAGTCAGGTCCTTCAGCTCAAGGTGCACGTCCCGAATTCCTGTGGATCCATAAGCCACATTGGAGGTCAGGTACTTGCGAATGCTTTTCAGACTCTCCACTTCCTCCTTTTCTTCCTCAGCAGTGATGTCTTTAGGTTCAAAATAAACCAGCTTGACTAGGGTTCCACCAATATCCAAGCCAAACCATGGAAAAACTAAATGGGAAAGAAAAAAAAAATGTCAAAACACCTTTTTCTAAAAATATTACTTGACTAGCAACTTATTCCACAGGCTATGGTTTCTAAGGAATAAACTAAAAGGTTTTGGGGAAAAGAAATGTGAATCAAAAATATCAAAGTATTAGGACAAACTAACTTTTCTGTATGCCCAAACTATACTATGAAGTACTTAAAAGCTAACAAATTAAGTTTCAACCCTGAAAAACAAAGACTGTGAATGAACATCTTCACCCTGCCTCCAGCACAAAGGAAGGAGCGCTGAGACTTTACAGAGCTCTAGTACTCACACTGAGAGCGAAGCCTACCGAAGACTCTCCAGGGTCAATTCCTCTCCGCACTACCCTGGGCTAGTTGTACAGGTTAGGGATAGAGTACTTGTCCACTTATAGCAGGCCCTAGGTTTATTCTCTGGGTAGACAAAAAAGGGAAACACTGGCAACTTAAAAATAAAAGGCTTCAAAGGACTTTAAGTCCAAGCTATCTGCTGCCCAAAAAACACTTTAAAATTAAAAAAATAGGGGGCAGAGAGAACATCCACTTGGTGGCTCAACTCACAACTGTATTTAACTACAGTCCCAGGGATCTGATATCCTCTCTTCTGGCCTCCATAGGCTCTAGGCACATACATGGTGCACAGACATACACGTAGGCAAAACAACCATACATATAAAAATTTTAACAAATAATTAGTCAGTAGCTTCAGGAACATAAAGATGGACATATATGTCTTCCCAACCCTAAATCTAGAAATGACTAATAAAAGCTTAAGTTTACTAACATTCTTCCCTAAAATAATTCTGGAAAACACACACATACACACATACACACACACACACACACACACACACACACACACACACACACACACACACACACACACATCTAGCCAGTGTCTGTTCTGAAGCATCCAAAGGAACACTAATAAAGCTGGAAGCAACTGTGAAGGTGGGAAAGCACACAGGGACGCTCTACTCAAGCATGAGGTGGAATGGCTGCCAGGATGACACAGGAGCAAGTTTCAGCAGCCATGTTGATATGGTCAGGAAATAGATTTGGAGAAACTCGACAGGCTACCACCAATTCCTCTCTACCAAGAGTACTTCTCACCATCACAAAGACAAACAATCTCTTCCCTGAGTACATGGACCAGAGACACAGAGTCAGGATGGCATCCAATTAGGTGCTGCCACCCAAAGGAAGGACAGCCTCCACACCTGCCATACATATATCCCATCTCCCCACTACACTCCATCCCAGGAGACAATAAACAGAATCTACAGCCACTGACAGATCAATAGCAATTCTCAAAAGTATGTGAGGAAAGCGTGCAACAATAATAAATAGTAAATGTCTTCAGACACATGACATCTATGAAAAACTAGAAACTAAAAACTACCAAAACTACAATTAATGCATGATTTTAAAAAGTAAACAGAACCAGATACTTATAAGCTTGTGTAAAACTAATGAACAGGAGCTGGAGAGATGGCCCAGTGGAAAAGAATGTATACTGCTCTTGCAAAGGACCAGAGTTCAGTTCCCAGCACTCACATCAGGTAGCTCACAACTGCATGTAACTACAGCTCCAAAAGATTCAACACTCTTCTGGCTTCCTCTGACATCTATACTCACCTGCATATATTGACACACAAACACGCATACACATAATTTTAAAAGAAAATAAATCCTTAAAAAAAAGGGGGGGTGGGGATGGGGGTGGGGGGTGGAGATTTAGCTCAGTGGTAAAGTGTTTGCCTAGCAAGCACAAGGCCCTGGGTTCGGTCCTCAGCTCTGGAAAAAAAAACAAACAAACAAAAACAAAAGAGATGAATAGTTTGTTCCTAATCATGGAGTGGGAAAATGCTCAACACTCACTCTAGAAAAAAAAAAGCATAAACTTATCTACGAAACTCAAAAGCAAACTGAGTGAAAGAAGCCTTGCAGAAAAGGCTATATACTCTAGGAAATACAAACTAATCACTTCTGCAGCTAGGAGGGAAAGCCAACTGTATGATCATACTGGTAAAGAGAAGAAAGACTTCAGAGGTACAGGTCAGTGGTGGCCCAAATCTTAAACTGTACGGTGGGGGAAATGTAAGAGTCATAGAGGTACATAATCTAAGTCAAACCAATACAGTTAAACAGTAAGATGGAAGCGCAGACACACAAAGTAGAACACAAAACTAAGAAATCCTCCCAGAATGCCTCTCAAGTTAAAAAAAAAAAAAAAAAGTTGGGCCGGGCGGTGGTGGCGTGCGCCTTTGATCCCAGCACTCGGGAGGCAGAGCCAGGCGGATCTCTGTGAGTTCCAGGCCAGCCTGGTCTACAGAGTGAGATCCAAGACAGGCACCAAAGGCACCAAAACTACACAGAGAAACCCTGTCTCAAAAAAGCAAAAAAAAAAAAAAAAAAGTTGGAAATAGAGATAGAACCATAAGCCTTATCTCCCACAAGTTCTAGAAATTTCTTGGGACAGAGTGGAAAGACTTTTTTTTTTTTTTTTCGAGACAGGGTTTCTCTGTGTAGCTTTGCGCCTTTCCTGGAACTCACTTTGGAGACCAGGCTGGCCTCGAACTCACAGAGATCCGCCTGGCTCTGCCTCCCGAGTGCTGGGATTAAAGACGTGCGCCACCACTGCCCAGCCGGAAAGACTTTTTAAAGGAAGACTTTTTAAAAAAATCCTACTGAAGCCAGGTATGGTGTGATACACATTTAGTCCCAGCACAGGCAGATCTCTATGAGTTCCAAACCACCTAGTGCTCCACAGTGAGACCTTGTCTCAAAAAAATAAAGAAAAGTAAGAAAAGAAGCCAGGTGGTGGTGCTGCACACCTTTAATCCCAGCATTTGGGAGGCAGAGGCAGGTAGATTTCTTTGTGAGTTTGAGGCCACCAGTTCCAGTAGAGCCAAGGCTGGTAGTGAGAAACTCTGTCTTGAAAAATCAAAAATAAAATAAGTAAAGAAATCTTACTGAACCAGGCAGTGGTGGCACACACCTTTAATCCCAGCACTCGGGAGGCAGAGGCAGGCAGAGCTCTGTGAGTTCGAGGCCAGCTTGGTCTATAGAGTGAGTTTCAGGACAGGCTCCAAAGCTACACAGAGAAATCCTGTCTTGAAAAAGCAAAAACAAAAATAAAGAAAGAAAAAAAAATCTTACTGAAATTTCAGAAAACCGTAAGAACCAAAGTTTCTAGGAATAGACACAAATCACACAAAGGAAGCAGTGCTCTTCATCAGCAATGTGAATGTTAGAAGACAAAGGCACACAGGCTTCAAAGACAGAAGGAAAAAGGGTCACATGTGTTATCCAGTCAACCAGCTTTCAAGCAGGAATCCAAAAGAAACTTCACACACAAGGACTGCCACTCAAAGAGTTTCTGATTCATGTAGATGCACAGCAGCATAATTTTACATTTCCAAGAGCTGTAAGAAAGATTTTAATCCGTAAGCTATAAGCAGAGGAATAAATGCATGCTGACTTTAAGATCTAAAATACTTACACAATTTCAACAAAGGACATCAAGGAGGAAAGGAGTAGGAAGTGAACGCAGCATGTCTGTATTGTAGGGAAAGGAAAGAGGACAAGACTGAGCAGCTGGAGACAAGAACAGAAAAGGGACGCTTTAAAACAAAACAAAACATGTAGTGGTAGTGCATAGCTGTAATCCTAGGACTCAGGAGGCAGAGGCAGGGGGATCATTGCAAGTTCAAGACCAGCATGGTTACATGTCAAGTTCCAGGCCAGCTACCACTTCACAATGAGACCCTCATGTCAAACATAAATAAAAGCAGCCCTGGAAGAGAAAAGGAACATAAGATTTTTCAAATAACTAGATACAGGCAATAAGTCTACTGTATGGGAGTGGGGATAGCCTGGGGATCCAACCCAGGGCCTCACATACTGTGATGTAAACACCCCACCACTTAGATACATCCCTAGCCCTAAAAGATTTTGCAGGTTTTCACCACAGAGAAACTGCTTAAGTAGATATGCTAACTAACAATGATTTAAACATACAATGGATATATGAGTCAAAACATCACATAGGGCGCTGTAAACAGGAATAAAGAATATTTTTACACACAGCTAAAAGCAAATTTTAAGCTGGGTAGAGTGGCACAAGCATGTAATTTTAGTGCTCAAGAGGCTGAAGCTGGAAGATGACGACTGTAGGACTTTCCTTTCCTGTCCGCCAGTTCCCAAATATCCAACAGATACGTAAAAAATGCTCGGCTTAAACCAAAAAATGACTATTAATGTCAAAATATTTTAAACTGGTATGGATTTTGGTTTATTGGTACAAATTTAAAGTTATTTTTACTATACTACATGTATGTTTCTACTCTTGTTTGGGGTATTGTGCTTATGCCAACTCAATTAAAAATGTAATGTATAATTAAGAAATGCTGATTAATAGTCATCTATTATAGTCAAACTTACAGTCATGTTAGGTATGTTTTCAAGGTCATACACAGATATATTTAGATAGATAGATAGATGATAGATAGATAGATAGATAGATAGTTAGATAGACGGTCTTCAAATACTTCAAAGACCTACAGAATATGGCATTTAATATATTTAATAACCTAAGGCTTTTCATGACAGTGAGACACATTTGCTCCTGACGGCACCAATCTACTTCAAAGAAGAGGATGAGCATCAAAGAAACCGAGTTTACTTTCTTTTTTTTCTTTTTTTTTTTTGGTTTTCAAGACAGGGTTTCTCTGTGTAGTTTTGCGCCTTTCCTGGAACTCACTTTGTAGACCAGGCTGGCCTCGAACTCACAGAGATCCTCCTGCCTCTGCCTCCTGAGTGCTGGGATTAAAGGTGTGCGCCACCACCGCCCGGCGAGTTTACTTTCTTTATGGAAAAAGCTAAAAAACTGCCCTTGCCTCAATTGCTGACAGTATACTGTCCAAACTGGACCAGCAGGATGCAAAAAAGGTGACTGGCAAACTTTGCCAAGACAAGGT